ATCGGAGGCAGTTGTACCACTGTGATCCTGATGTGAACAGATTCATAGTACCACACGAAAGTCAGTGGAAACTTTATGAAGTCTGAATTCAGTATCGTGTCTATTTGCTGTGGTTGCGAATAAAATCTCTGTTGATCTAGTGAGAGATCATACGGTAGGAAGGTCAGTCCAGTTTGAAACCTAAAGTTGTAGTAAAATACGAATGGTTTGATGTCGATGACATCTCCCCAGGAACTCCAGATAACGAAGTAGTTTGGAGAAGACAGATACCAAAAGTACGGCCCATAAACACCGTGAATACACAGTTTGTGGTCGGACATACTCCGTTTAACAAACTTTTCATGCTGACTTCTCGAGCAGTAGTGGTAGTCTGTACCCATGAGGTGATTCATCAATATCCTGTTGTAGTTTCCACTGCTTGAAGGATGAATACCCTCATAAAAATAAACCTTACTTTAAGTAAGGTTAGTGGGGTTTAAAGTAACTTTAATACCTTACTTAAAGTAAGGTATTAACCTTACTTTCTGACAAAAAAGTAAGGTTAAAAAGCTACTTTTTGCGCCGCGCAAAGTAACTTTAATACCTTACTTTAAGTAAGGTATAAACCTTACTTTCTGACAAAAAAGGAAGGTTAATACATTACTTTTTGCGCCGCGCGGATCCCTCACCCGCGCTAACATTTCAATATTTATAATAAAGCGTGTTCCAGCAAAATTCTTTGAAGACCCTTTCCGAGGACAATCGAATTAAACAGACATCGGTGAAATTTTTCAATTGAGGCGATAATTTTGTATCGTATTCAGTTCGATGTTATCATACTTCAAGTTCAAATACTTCAACATGTTTCGCAATTCTTGCTCGTTGATAAGCTGATTTTAATTTAATGATTAAGTCGTTTGATAATTGATATGTACACGATAAACATTAGTATTGCGACAAAATTTCAAAGTGAATGTTATATACACAATTTATTTATATTATATAAAGAAGTACACAGAGTTTCAAATCTCAAATTGCAACAAAATGAAAATACTGTACGTTATAGTCTTAGTATTGGCCCTTCAAAATATCCAATATATAACTCATTTTTGTTTTTAAATAATAGTCCTTCAAAAACCCTAAAATCATAATTTCAGTCAGCTGTTGGCTGCGACCACCCGTTCAGAAGAAGATCATGTCTTCCGGCTCTTTAGATTAGAACTTCGTAATCTGGATAAAAAGGTGGATTAATTATGAGTTATCTCATTCTTTTCTAGTACAAAATGGATACTACTATACTAAGGTTGATTCAGCGACAAATCAAATATAAATATATGAAGGACAAGAGACAGCACATTGACAGAGTAATATTTTTACCTGTAATTAAAAGAGGCTCCGTAGTCGTAGTTTTTGATTGTGCGTTATCAAGAGTGCCCAACAAAGCTTGCTCTCTGACATGCAATACAGTGGCGTAACGAAGGGTGTAACGAAGAGCCCCGCTGACCCCGCTGTGCGGACTGGGGGAGGGGGGGGGGTTTACGAAAACTTGTTGTTTGAATGTGGGACAACTTTTAAAAACTTAACTAAGGTACTATACTAACATACTAGTAAAACTGTACGTTTGCTCTAGAAACACACTTTTTTAGAGATTTTACCGTGTCCTCTAAACTCTCTAAAATCACCTAATTTGTTCAATTTTAGGGAGGGGCGCCAACAGGGGGGGGGGGGGGTGCATTTTCGCAGTGTGCGCCAACAGGCAACGTTACTCAACTGCTGCAATACACCGTGAAAATAACCAAACTCCTTTTGCAACTCTGATTTCATGGGTATAAGATCTGTGGCGATGTTCTGTTCAGTTTCCTACAATCGTCAATCTGGTCACAAACCAAGTCGAGTGTTTTACCGTACCTGGTAGGTGGTGGGATTACAATATTCCGACATTTTGCTGATAGCGTGTGAAAAATTCTTGAAATAAAAACTTGGTAAAACAACCATCTCCATAATTTAGGATGATTAAACTGCTCTTCAACAAAATTAGATTAAACTAGCAAATATTGGGGGGGGGGGGGGGGGGGCCAACCATATTAAAGTATATTAAAGTATATCCCCGGGTCAAAATCGGAAAAAATCATACATTTTAATATACTTTAATATACCTACAATTAGAAGATTTATATTCTTCGTTAAGATTTACATGATGAACTATATTTTTCACTCAGATTCGCAAGATAAGCCTGTTTTAGGACTAGTACATGAATTTCCATCCAGATTGGTCAAAAATTGGCTGAGCTATGAGCTTAAAAAAATATGCCCATATTTGGGCATACGCTTTTGCCCAAATTCGCTTTTGCCCAAATTCGATAAAATTTCAATATTTTTTAATGAGACTAACTCTATGTGAAAGATATAACTCAGTGTTTGTTGAATATAGTGGATACTAAGTAAAAAGACCTCCATAAACAAAATTGGGAAAATTGCACATAATATCTCGGTTCGGAATACTAGCAAAAATGACTTCATTAAAATTGAAATAACTCCATCAGTTTTCAATATTTTTTCAAGAACTTTTTGGAATCGATTAAGAATTGCATTTCAAGCTTATTTTGGGCAACAATTTTTGATGTAGGCCTCCAAGGAGATAGGGATATATTAAAGTATATTGTAGGTATATTAAAGTATATTAAAGTATATCCCCGGGTCAAAATCGGGAAAAATCCTATATTTTAATATACTTTAATATGGTTGCCACCCCCCCCCCCCCCAATATTACCAGTTGAGGACACTGTTGACACACAGGTTACCCATCATGCTCCAGGCACTGTGTAGGAATAGCGTCTGGATGGAACTGGCATTGATTTAGACCGCACATTTTATATATACATACTGATGCTTGGTATTGTTTTTATACATATCATGAAACGGATCGTTTGCCCGCCAATTTGATTTGTTTCAATTGTTCGAATTACATATATATATATACATATATATATAACTAGAAAACCCGTGGTCACAGGGAGGAACCTAACAGTATTCTTTGGCAGTCAGTTTTAATCGTATCAAAAATTATTCATCCCCCACCGAAGATACAGCCGATTAAAATTTTGCTTGCACTAAACACAACGATATAATATCAAATTAACCGATGAAAATGCCGTTTTAACAATCTTTGCACGTGCACGTACCGTGCGTGTAACAACCCTCGTTACCATGGTTACTTGCAATCTTTTGAGGAGGAGGAGAAGGAGGAGGAGGACTGGGGAGGATGACTCAGGAGGAGGATGAGGAGGACTCAGGAGGAGGACGACTATGAGGAGGACTGAGGAGAACTAATTGAAGATTGGTGATTGAAGATTGGTGAGCCGCGCGCAAAAATTAAATGTCAAGTTTAAATTCAAAAATATGAACTTAGTTATATTTCTAAAATTGAAAAGTCATTTGAGAATGTTCTCACTTAAGATATCAAAAAGAAAAACAAATATAATTAAATAATTATTTTGTACTTAACAAGTTTCATTTTATTTTACTTAAATTTTTTCGCTTGCTCTAACCAAAGCCATTTCGCTTAAGCGCGTCACGCAGTACGCGTATACACATAGCTATGTGAATTTGTTACCGTAAAGCTTGATAAAATGTTTTATTTTAAAATCTTTCAATCATTTATAACTATTTTGTTGACTTTTGAAACAACCGGCGGAGCTTATTAAAATAAATTATACCTGCTTGAAAATTAAATTTTTAAATTGTACAGTGAGCCAAACGCAAAATTGGAATTTCAAAATGAATTAAATTATACTTTAAGTACTAATTAATTATTTATTTATTTGCTTTTGTTTTTAACATCTTATGTATAAAAAGTTTCAAACGACTTATCAATTTTAAAAAATATAATTTAATCCATAGTTATGAATTTAAACTTAACATTTAATTTTTGCGCGCGGCTCACCAATATTCAATCGTTTAGGAATCGAGCGCTAACCTCCAAGCCATACATTATACCTGGAGATCAGCTGCAGTGGTATACGGAATTTTTATTGTTGTCTGTCATGTTCCTAATCGAGAAGCGAGGTTTGTGTGCAATTGCCTTGTATTCTCGACCACCGGAGGTATGGGCCCACAAGCTACCATGTTCTTTAAACGAGTAGCAACACTTCTGGCAGCCAAGACCAGCCAGGACAAAAGCCTTATTATGGCAAATCTATGATTTACCAGATAACATTAAAAGTAAAGTTAAAATATTTGCTGATGATCTTAAGCTTATAGCTAATGCCTCCGAGCATGAAACTATAGTTAATGATCTGAACGAACTAGAGATGTGGGAGAGTAAATGGCTTTTAAAGTTTAATCCTACTAAGTGTTCGGTAATGCATTTAGATGTTAACGATAACCCAAGTTATTCTCTTAATGGAGTTACATTGGCAGAATCTGTACAGGAAAAAGACTTGGGAGTTATAACCCATAACTCTCTGCTATGGAATGAACAGATAAAGGCTTCAATATCTAAAGCCAACAGAATGATATGTTGGATTGTTAGAAATCTGATTATCAGGGAAAAATCTGTGATGATATCCATTTACAAAGCTTTGATAAGACCCCAAATTTTTAAAATTATTATATTATATATACAATCACCAAAAGAATATTACCTCAAGTTAACTTCTAGTTAACTGATTCGTGGTTTAAGCTCTTATTTTATTTATGATTAAAGGAATTATTATAAAACAGGATCTTACCGACAAAAATTAAAAATACCTTAATGCGGTAAACTGTAACCTTGAAAAAGATTTTCCCAACATCTCTTGCATGCAGCTATATCTCTAATTTCGTTCAATTCATGAGAGTTGTCCATTTGCAAATTTCTACTACTTAAATCACTTCTTAAAACCGATTAAAGGAATGTAAAATAAAACTTATTGCTTGCTTCATTTAATTTATTTGAATTTTTGTAGATAAAGTTGTTGTTAATGACTTATTAATATTGGTGGTAAGATATTTATATTTTTCCATTTAGTGATTTGATACTTGAGTTTTAATACTTTCAACACTAATTACAGGATGTTCTGTATACAACGTTATCCCTAAAGTTATATTTAACCAACTTAACTTTTCGAAATGAGTAATTTCGTTGTTGTGAACTGGGGTCAGGAGGGTAAGAAGTCAACAGGAGTTTCGATAGTGAACAAAGAAGATGTGAGTATTAAATAATATTTCAATTACTTACACAGCTTTCAATTGTCCTCCATGCTTTAGAGGTTTAATAACAATTTACACATTAGTGCCAACCTTTAACTGGCAATAACTTGGGCTTGGAATATTATATATCATTTCGCTGTTGTCATTTTACTCTGAAATCGTCCTACTTTTATACTTCTCCTAAATTTTTACCCTGTTAATACCAACCTGACGAAATGTCAAGGTTGGTATCTATGTAAAGTTTCTAATAATTTAATGGTTATCTTCATGCCCATTCACTTTATGTTGTTTATAACTGAAATAATACTTTATGTTCTTTATGCAGTTACAAAGTAGAGCAGCTGTTGGACAGATGGTTCAAGTAAAGTACAATACAAAAACTTTTCCAGCTAGAGTTATTGCTTTTGCAGCTGGTGAGTATAATTTATGTAAAAAATTACCTGTCATTACTCATTAGAACTACCTTAAGAGACATATTTATGTTCGACATAATTACGGTCGCGGTGAGAACGAAAATATGGGATTTGTTTAGAGAGACATTTTTGATTTTGTACCCCAAATTAAATCATGGTATATTGGGATTTAAAAAATACATATTGCATGAATTAATCACGGAAATGGAAAAATTGTGTATGAGGGTAAGGACGCAATTGCTAACAATACTTCTTTGTGCCTGTTGACTACAAAAATTGACATTTTGAGTAGTTTCTCCAGACGGTTTCAAGTGGATTATTTACTAGGTTATGTTCAAACCAGCCCAACATTTTTGTTTTTGTGTCAGTTGCGCTACCAGGTTGCAGAGTAGGTTCAATATTTAAATGACATACACATTTACTAATCACTGATACCAGAAGAATCCAACTCCAATCTAGTTGCAGAGGCTATGCACCACAGTTCAGTTACCAAGTACAAAGTATTGAGTAGTTGATAGTAAATCGATAAAGTCATAATCAAGCAAAATGAAAATGATTCGGGGAAAAATAATGATGGTGAATTAAATTTTGGTATTGCGAAAATATGGTGTTTTTTCGAAAAAACACAGACTTTCGTACCATTTAAATATGTCTCGTAAGGTATGTAGACAGAACATACTGCATCATACGTATCATCTAGCTAGGGCGTTATTTTGAATAAATACCATATTAAGATTAATTAAAGTTAAATTTAAACAATTAATATATTATATTATCTTAAAGTAACAGTTTTGTTATTCAAAAAGTATACCTTATCCCTTATCGAATTCTCCAGACGAGGCCATCGCTGAAGTTAGATTGAGGGAGTACTGTGCGAAGGGTCCAGATAATAATATTTCCATCCAGAACAAGGTAAACTATTTACCGCTTTTCTTTTAAATTTAAAACTATAATTTTCTCGTATTACTTCAGGATTGGAAGGAGATGAGAAACCATGTGGGCATATTGAATACATACATTTTGTTAGTTAGCACATCAACCCAAACCATTCATCATCTAAACTGTAATGTTCATTATCGGGCTAAAATACATAATAAGGATTTGAATCAGTAAGGATGTTTACAATATACAAATATACATCCTATGATATAGTGCACGATTATAGTCATGCGTTATTTTTACTACTATATTATTATATTATTTATGATACAGGGCCAGGGGGGGGGGGGGGGAGCAGTCAGTTTACACAGGTCGACTTAAAAGCTTGGTCAACAAGTGCCTGATTGGGATGATCTATTTCTGGAATTATGAGCTATTATCACCCATTCGAAAAATATATCGAATCAAAGAATATTTGTGTTCATTTTTTACGAATGAAGGTTAATTTCGCATTTAAATTTGATATATTATTAAATCGGATCAAGCCAAATTTTGATGGACTGAATTTGATAAGGTTTTAGATAGGTAGAAACACAACATATATCCAATTCATATCAACCAAGCACACTCCACCCCTCCCCATCCCCCCCCCCCCCCCCACTTTAAGTAGCATGTATCTGCATAATACAGTGATATTATAATAAATAATAAATAATAAAATTTGGTAGCTTAAACACAAACTCTAAGCCCAGTGGATAAACCACAAAACTTATGCTCTATTGTGTGAAACAAAGATACTAGATCAAGATGACCATCAAGGAGTGTATGCATAGGACATAAAAAGTATATGTTTCTACAGGTCCAGAAAAGAAAAGCAATCCCGGCCGCTGAGGATCCGGATGTAATAGTAAGTGTCAGCTGAAAGAATTAAAATTCAGTCGTGACAACCTAATTAACAAGCTAATTCATGATTTCTTACTGATTGGGACGCTAATTAATGTTCAAATCTCACATCATACCTATTTTAATCCAACAGACATGCGGGAAAAGTAAGAAGACGAAGGCCCCCACCACCAAGGCTTTTCCTGTAAGATTTTTTTTCATATAAATTAGATTAGACATAATATCATGTCATAAACTAAGTATTGTTCGTAGAAAAACAGAGGAAGATATTATTGTAATTATCGACCGAAAATATTGAACTATTCAAATTTATTGTAGACATTAGAAACGACATTAGAAACGTTCCTTACAACGGTTGCTGTTGTGCTGTTATTGCTGTTATGATCCACCAAATATATACATATCTATCGCGTGATAAAGCTATTATAATAATAACTACTTGCAGGAGGAAAAGACTCCAGCAAAGAAAGTGGTAAGTGTTTTTAATCGTTTTTAATCATAAATAAAAATTTGGAAAATAGCTCATCTGAAAAAGGAAAGAGCACTAAAAGACTCAAAAGATAGACTTAAGTGTTTTAATAAATATTGGCTAGATCTATTTTTACGGACTAGCCTCTGATGTGGAAAGTAGGAATTGATCACCCTGCAATATAGGAATGTAGTGCTACGTGCGTGTGCGGGGATGCAAATATCGACATTCATTAGATCTGTAAAGAGGAGAAATATATTTATCTGTAATACTCATCATTCACACTACACATTCATCACCCACCAGTTACACAACTATTTCATCAGATACACACACCCAAACCCTGGCCTCGGTAAGTTTTCACTATTACTGAGGTAGTAACACACCACCCAATTCATATCCATCATGTACGAAAGACAGCTAGAACACAGTCACTCATTTACACAACATATCCAATTCATATCAACCAAGCACACTCCACCCCCCCCCCCCCCCCCCCCCCCACTTTAAGTAGCATGTATCTGCATAATACAGTGATATTATATGTTTCTACAGGTCCAGAAAAGAAAAGCAATCCCGGCTGAGAAAGTGAAGGTAAGTGTCGGCTGAAAGAATTAAAATTCAGTCGTGATAAAATTTGGTAGCTTAAACACAAACTCTAAGCCCAGTGGATAAACCACAAAACTTATGCTCTATTGTGTGAAACAAAGATACTAGATCAAGATGACTATCAAGGAGTGTATGCATAGGACATAAAAAGTATATGTTTCTACAGGTCCAGAAAAGAAAAGCAATCCCGGCCGCTGAGGATCCGGATGTAATGGTAAGTGTCAGCTGAAAGAATTAAAATTCAGTCGTGACAACCTAATTAACAATTCATGATTTCTTACTGATTGGGACGCTAATTAATGTTCAAATCTCACATCATACCTATTTTAATCCAACAGACATGCGGGAAAAGGAAGAAGACGAAGGCCCCCACCACCAAGGCATTTCCTGTAAGATTTTTTTATATAAATTAGATTAGATAATATTACATATTATATTACTACAGTGATATGAAGCAGCTGAAAACAAATCACGGTAATCATTGGCTAAAAGTATTTAACTTCTAGCTATTCAAATTTAGTCAATGACAAAGTAGCAAAGGTCATGTCAAGAAAGGCAACCTTCTGATTTTCTGATTCTCGATTTTATTACGTAACTTCTTGCGTTTCAGGAGAACGAGTTACCATCTCATATAGCTGAGATGGCTCTAGATATAGAGGATGAGCATCGCCAGGTAAACCTTTAAACCTTGTTATTAAACTGCATCGATTTTGAAGTATAGTCCCTTCAAAATCGATATGACCCTAATACATGGTAACTAATCTATATTATATCTCAAATTCTACATCCGGTACGGCTCTGCACACATGATATCACTCTCTGCCATGAAACATGGCTAACCTTTTAAACTATGATTTAAAACCTAAACTGAAACTAAAACTCAGCTGGGCTCTCCTGTGTCACCAAACTAGACCAATAAGCAATTTTAGATAATTACATTTTTCTATATTTGTATAATAAGTATATTGACGTAGTGGATGGTTGAGGGGGTCTCAAGCACAGGTCACTCTCAAATCCTAAAGATAAGCAGTGGCCTTCGGCACTTGAAACCTCTTCAAGCCTCCCCTGATTTATTTATTGATTGTGCCGTAAAAATAAATATTTGTTTTATTAAATACTTTACTCGGGAATATTATGACTGGGATAAAGTGATGGGTTTTGGAACATTCCGCCATATTTTTCCCGGTCATTAATTTTCCCAGTCATAAATTAACCCGCTATAATATTCCCGAGTAAGGTATTTGTTTTATTGATATTTTGTAATTTTTTGTAGGGAAAGAACTTGTATTTCATATTTATAATGACATGTAACCATCTTCCCGTGATAAAGCTTTAAAATACTCGCAGAAGCAGCCGACTACTCCTCAACCAACACGTCCAGTGCTAGCGGTAAGTTGTCATGTTAAAGTTGAATAATGAACATAAGAACAAATGATCAAAACACATCAGTCAAAATCTATATACTTACTGAGTTTGGTGTTACTTGGCCATGAGAAAAGCTGGAAATGACCGTCAAATTGTATAGTGGGTTCACCCTGATTTCTTGTGAAACTTGGTTTCGAGATAGCAGTTGACTAACAAATTAGGACCGATGACCGAACTTTTGAGGGGGTACCATCTAAAATTTGCGCGGCATTTTTGAGAATTTGGCCGCCAAATATTTTTAAAGGGCTAACTATAACAAAATTATATTAAACCCTAAGGTCGAAATACGATTATACGTTGATTCTGAAAATGTCATGTAAAAATAATGAAACCCTATTAAGTTGTATTGTTTTGAGCGAAGTCAGTTTTGCAAATATCGCGAACTGAGATATGGAAGATTTTGTTCATTTTTTTCATTTGAACACAGAATCCACAGTTAGGTAGATAATGAGCTGATAATAATAGAGAATGTGTAGTTAAGGCTTACCTAAGTTCATATAAAGTAAGTTTCATTCAGAATATTGATATTTAACTAATTTATGGGCCAAAATCGATTAAATTTGGTGCGTATGCCCAAATATGGGCATATGGTTTTTGGCTCATAAATCAGTCATTTTTTGTCCAATCTCGATGAAAATTCATATACGAGTTCATACCGCTAGCTACAAGTAGAGCACCTAAGTTTAAGAGCAATAGTGCTTGATTTTTAAATGGTATGGATGTGTTTGTTCAGACCACATAGTACCGTGCAGTTTTCTATTTATGTCTGTTGTAACCACAGATTTTCTATATTGTTCCTTATATTACACATGTCTTCACAGGATCATTTTCACATCACACCACCTGCACCTCCACCACTTGCACCCACTCACTCGCCTGGCTATCCAATGTACCCTGGCCCTATGCACATGCAGATGATGCAGATGATGGGAGGTTATAACAATATCACAGGAATGCAGACGATGCTTCAGCAACAGCAGCAAGGTAAATCAACGTTTGTCGTGGGTTGGTTGACAAAATAGATAAATGTTTTCAAAATTGAGTTATTAGGAACTCAAAACCCAAAGATTCAGTTCAAGCCATCTAAAGCGACTCATGAATATGTATAATGTAAGAACTTATTTCTATGAAGTATGGGTTTTACGAGAAATTTATTATCTATAATGTTACTTATTTCTCTTTGAAATAGCATTCATATAAATACGAAAGAATATTGACCCCCCCACAATGGACCCCACGACAAGTGACCTCCCGACAATTAACCCCCCGATAATTGACCCCCGACAATTGACCCCCGACAATTGACCCCCGACAATTGACCCCCGACAATTGACTGCTCACAATCGACACCCGACAATTGACACCCGATGATTGACCCCCACAATTGACCCCCGACAATGCCTCGGGTGCCTCACAATCGACACCCGACAATTGACACCCGATGATTGACCCCCGACAATGCCCCCCCCCCCCCCAATATAATTTAATACAATTAACCCTTACCCAAACCCTAACCCTAAACCCTAACTCGATCGATTGACCCCATTGTAATTACATAAGGGGTCAATTGTTGCGTTACCTTACCAGCCGATACATTATCAAGTTTTTTATCTGAACTGCCCAAATATTTCTGATTTTTTTAAGATATTGCCGAGCTTAAAGCAAAGGTGGAGAAACAAGGAGAAGGTATGGCAGTCCTCCGTGCTACCTGTGCCAACTTAAGAATGCAGCTCAACAAACAAGCTGGCCCTGGGTTACGTACACGTAAGTCTAGCGCTGTAGTAAGTGACAAGTATCCCGGGGGGGGGGATCATACATGGTACTAACTGGTGGGTCTACTGCCCATTTTCCAGAAAAACAGTTAGTACATGGTACTAAGGGGTTCATTTTTTGGGTGTCCAACCCCAAAAAAAACCATTTTACCATTTTACCTCAAATTTCAATTTTGGGAATGGATTTTGATCCCCCTGGCCCCCCTCCCCGGCCCCCTCCCCCCCCCCCCCCCCCCCCCCCCCCCCCCCCCCCCCCCCCGAGTATCCAAGGTTAAAAATAGACGTTAGGTGAACATTTTCTGCGTAATCACCTAATTAGTTTCAAACTGTCGTGTGACTTAAAATTTCTACAAATCAGCCAGTTAAACTAAATCGTTTTATTTAGCTATCAACTGATCATTCAATATTCATCAGGACTAGAAGAACCAGCTGTTACAGTAATTCATAGAGTCAGAGAGGATAGGAAGGACATAGAGTTAGTAGCGAGTGAGGAGAATTTAGTGAAGGAGATGGTAGGAGATTTGAGGGGAGTAGGTTTAGTAAAGTTGAGTGAGTTATATAAGATGATAGAGGTATTATTGGCAAGGCACGTCCTGCCAGAGATTCAGAGCTGTTTGGGAGTATCGAATCTGGGAGGGCAGGATGTGCAAGATAACTGCCTAGAGGATAACATCACAGACTCGATAGTAAAAGCGTTACATCTGCACGTCGGAACGCCACAGAAGGTCACCCGGCGGTGGTTGAGGCAAAAGCTGAAGAGGAAAATGAGGGATATTAGTAAAACTAAGACTCCCGAACAGTATGACGAATGGTGCGAGCGAACCTTGAGTTCGTACGATTCTGACCACACACCAGGTCCTAGTAGTGTGTTAGACACTATGGTCAGTTATTTTTAAATTTTTTAAAGCTGATGGTAGGTGGTAAACGATCGTCGTAACGAGGCATAATTTTGTTAAAATTTGCGATATGTTTTTTTATCCGAAGAGCCAAATTCACGAAATTCACGAAATCCTCACACCAGGCATCTGTTCAGAGTTTACAACTCTTGCTTATAGTCCAGTAGACTCTCTTTTACAGTTTCGACAGCTTTTCTAAAGCATATCAACTTAACATTACTATACAGTGCATTTTCTGCGACAAAATCAACAAATTCGACGTGTCCTATATTATTGCAATTATATACACGGACATTTGTAAGCAATCCTTATTTTATGTTATCGTTCGGAAAAATTATTTGTACAAAGATACCAACAGTTTCCATGGCTGTATCATTTCAATACAATTTATCATGAGTCTTTGAAAACAGTCCAACGCTGAGCCCAAATTTTAGCAAAATAACACTGTTTTTTTCGGACACTTTTTTTGATTCAGGTGGTTTTTTATCACGATATCCCAACAATGCAAGTTTTCCCAGAATTATGGCAGTGTCTTATAATCTCATCATGGCTAGACTATGATACCAAAAGTTTTTAAATCCGAGAAACTTAACAATTTTTGTTTACCACCCACTGCTAATTGCGGCGTTACATATCACACATATTGTATGACGCCTGTCAACTGCAGGTATATTTTGTCAAACCTGCCAATTGCAGTGTTTGTATTGTATGACGCCTGTCAACTACAGGTATATTTTATCAAACCTGCCAATTGCAGTGTTTGTATTGTATGACGCCTGCCAACTGCAGGTATATTTTATTTAAACCTGCCAATTGCAGTGTTTATATTGTATGACGCCTGTCAACTGCAGGTATATTTTATTATTTTATTTATGCTTGTATTTTCATTTGTGTCATCACTTCCCTTCATTCATCTAATTGTGGCATGCTGAAACACTACTCATCAACTTATTATTATATACTTTATGTTTTGATTCCTTACAAGGGTACTCTATTAACATTTTTTGACTGATTTGAATGTCCTGCACAGCAGATCGAAGCATCTCCAAATGATTTACTATTGCTGTGTGAATTTGATTCTAATTCTAATTCTAATAACACTATTTTCCAGCACAATGGACATGATTCCGCAACCCGGACTGGAATACCCTAAGTTCGATCCAGCATCGCTCAGGGTATGCAAGATTTGTACTATGAGCACCACGGAGAATGTCCTCGAATTGCACGATGGCTGCTGTATGAATCGGGAGTGTAGGAAGGAGAATGATAGCAACAAAAAAAATCAAATGCGGTTGCTAAGGAAACGTACGGATGATATGAAAGCAGAAGCGCTGAAGAAGTTTGGCGTATCTAAACAAAGAGCGGCAGACCCGACCATGGTTCGATCCTGGAGCCAGCCAGCCTCCAGCCTCCAGCCACCATCGAACATGTCTAAGGTTCAGAGTCAAAACTGGAGAAGAAATCACCATCCGACTCCACCGTCAACTCCTCGAGAGGAAGCCCCTAAATCCTCCTCATCCTCCTCCTACCCATCTGCATCAGCAGGTCTCTCCTTGGTAGCAGTAACCTACTCCTCAACTCGTGCCTGCTCCTCCTCCTCCTACCCAGCAGCAGCTCACTCCTCCGCAGCAGCTCCCTCCTCCGCAGCAGCTCCCTCCTCCGCAGCAGCTCACTCCTCCGCAGCAGCTCCCTCCTCCGCAGCAGCAGCTCTCTCCTCATCTGATCCAGCCTGCCCCTCCTCCTCCTCCTCCTACATATCAGAAGCCCCCTCCTCCGCAACAGCTCGCACCTGGGCAGCAGTAGCCTCCTCTGGTCTTCCCTGCTCCTCCTCCTCCTACCCAGCAGCAGCTCACTCCTCCGCAGCAGCTCCGCCCTCCGCAGCAGCTCCCTCCTCCGCAGCAGCAGCTCTCTTCTCATCTGATCCAGCCTGCCCCTCCTCCTCCTCCTCCTACATATCAGAAGCCCCCTCCTCCGCAACAGCTCGCACCTGGGCAGCAGTAGCCTCCTCTGGTCTTCCCTGCTCCTCCTCCTCCTACCCAGCAGCAGCTCACTCCTCCGCAGCAGCTCCCTCCTCCGCAGCAGCTCCCTCCTCCGCAGCAGCAGCTCCCTCCTCATCTGCTCCATCCTCCGCAAAAACCCCCTCCTCTACTCCCTCCTCCGCAGAAGCCCCCTCTTCCTCTACTCCCTCCTCCGCAGAAGCCCTCTCCTCCTCTACTCCCTCCTCCGCAGAAGCCCCCTCCTCCTCTACTCCCTCCTCCGCAGAAGCCCTCTCCTCCTCTACTCCCTCCTCCGCAGAAGCCCCCTCCTCCTCTACTCCCTCCTCCGCAGAAGCCCTCTCCTCCTCTACTCCCTCCTCCGCAGAAGCCCCCTCCTCCTCTACTCCCTCCTCCGCAGAAACCCCCTCCTCCTCTACTCCCTCCTCCGCAGAAGCCCTCTCCTCCTCTACTCCCTCCTCCGCAGAAATCCTCTCCTCCGCAGCAGCTCCATCCTTCTCTGCTCCAGCCTGCTCCTACTCCTCCTACACATCAAAAGCTTCCTCCTGGGTAGCAGCTTCCTCCTTCTCTGCCCCAGCCTCCTCTTCTGGTCCAGTCCCCTACTCATACATAGCTCCCCCCTACCCATCAGCAGCAGCCACATCCTCTTTCACAGCCTGTCCTCGACCTCCTCATCATCCTGTTATGTACTCTACTCCACCTCCTAACCCTCAGCAGCAGTTCCTCCCTTTTCCTCAGCTCCCGTGCGCTCCACAGCCCCCGACTCCACTGGCTGCGCCCCCGACTTTACTGGCTGCGCCACTTACCAACTCTCCTCTTGACCCAAACTATTTCCCGAGGAATTTTATTCCTATGGTTTCGGTTCTCACAAGGCTTCCATCTCCTCCAGGCAAATTTTCTTCTACCCAGTTTGCGGACTTCAAATTCTTCAATAGTGCCCAAACTGTAGCAGCTGGCGATGTTGCGTGGTTTTACTGTGTTCGGGTGATGCAGATCGCTGTGATTCAAGGAGAGTCGCCCATATATCAGGCGATTTTGCGGCAGGCCTTTTCAAATGTCTCCAAGTCGGCCAGCACACTCTACCTGAGTCTACAGAGGTCACTTCATGCTCGCTACAAAGCAGCACGTAGGGAGACCATGACGAAGGATTGGATACGTGTTGTCCCGAGCATCTTGAATGGTCGGCCCTTGCTTCTGCCTGCTCGTAGCGTGGTGGTCCGTAAGCACCTGAGCACAGTAGAGAGGTGCAATACCCTGGCTGTTAAGAGCAGACTGGGCCCGCTTGAGAAATATATTGCTGAGGTTACATCTCTGAATGCAGCACCGATAACAGGCCAAACTATCATGGATATAATGATAGGACTTTCTTATCTGTGCCACATGAAGAATAACCTCAGGTAGTATTGTTTATTGTTATGAAGGCCCTCAATATCCTATTGGTCTAAGTCATAACCTCATTCTATATCCAATTGCAGTGGCCTATTAGTATCAGGGACAAAAGAAAATCGCTGCATGTACGGAATCGCGATTTTCCCCATTATTTGCGACAAATTTTATGTATATACTGGAAAGCCCGTGATCACAGGGAGGGAGGTAATAGTATTCTTTGGTAGTCAGTTTTATAGCATCAAAAAATATCTGTCACAACCGAGTAAATAGCCCATTAAAATGTAGCTCGCACTAAACACAACGTAATTACCACAAAATGACGTTAAAACAATCTTTGCACGTGCACGTACACATTTCAACACCGTTACCATGGTTACTTTGCAACAACCTATTTCTCGTCTAATTTGCACGTGGGCGTTCGTACAGAAATAATTCTTTGAATTATAATATAGATAGAAATATAACTCGCACTGAACACATATTAACAAAAAACCGATCAAAATAATCGCGAAATCCTTTTGTCCCTGATTTAGTGTATAACGCCTGTCAACTGCAGGTATATTTTGTCAAACCTGCCAATTGCAGTGTTTGTATTGTATGACGCCTGTCAACTGCAGGTATATTTTGTCAAACCTGCCAATTGCAGTGTTTGTATTGTATGACGCCTGTCAACTGCAGGTATATTTTGTCAAACCTGCCAATTGCAGTGTTTGTATTGTATGACGCCTGTCAACTGCAGGTACATTTTATTTAAACCTGCCAATTGCAGGTATGTTTTTATCATTTTGTTTATCCATACCTGGCATAGTATTTTCATTTGCGTAATCACTTCCCTTCACTCAACTAATTGTGGTATGCTAAATTATATTACCTAAATATTTTTCACTGTCCGTGATCATTTATTTTCCGCTGTTATATGCAAGTCTCCTTTTACCAAATTTGGAGCGTAAATATTTAATATTATCTTCCTCAGTGGTAGTAAGATGACACAAACGTTCTGTCCACCTGTCCACGGAAATCCACAGAAATCAGCTCTCATTGTTCACCACATCATACGCCACTCACTTCATAAGCTCTCACGTATGTATGTTGTGTTAAATCAGTTGCAGAATTAAAATGTAATTCCAAATACCTGCGTCAGCAAGCTTACACATAAGTCCATGACCATTAAACAGAAATCACATTTAAATCTCTTCCGATGTTATTCAAACCTATAAATAAAATGAAGGGTACTAGTAAATATGTTAAAAAGTCAGCATAACTAAGCAGTGTATCTTAATAACTTAATAAGAATTAACCCAACTCTTTGTATAGACTGAATAATAAATAGCAATTGTATACTCCTAGATAGAAGATATGACCGTATTTTACCTAGGTACCCAACGACAAGAGAAGAAGTTCGACTTAAACCATGTGGTGGTGGGAATGGAGTAAGACTATCCGACTGTGAAAGACAGTAGAGTACATCGTGGTGAGATTCTTCCATCTAAATATTTTGAACTCGGCAGTACCTAGATAGAGCGACCCCTGTTCGCGAACAATTGTCACAAACACCTCAACACCTGTTGCTTGATTAAGGGGATACTGTTATTATGCAGTAATATGATCTGGTAGACAGGTGTTCGTGGACAGTAATTCGCGGACAGTTGTTCGTGGACAGGGGTCGGGCTATCTAGATACTGCCTTGAACTCGCTACGAGCTACGAGCTCAATCAATCGTAACTAGGTAGCGCAAACCTAGTGACAGGCTCTGCACGCCACCGTAGCTTGGAGCTCGTTGCGAGCTATGCACGCCACTAGTAACCATGGTTCGTTACTTTTTGATTGCAAGTTAATAGCAGTACCCTATAGCAGTAACAAAGCATGTTGTTGTGCCATCAACTTGATCAATGGTGTCATTTACGAAAGCTTCTTGAATGTTTGTTTCAACTTGTCTTCACACAGGTCCGTAGTCGCGGCTTTGTTTCAACACAACACAGCAACTGGTTAACAAATAACAATTATGTATCAATCCACGACGTCGTTTAATATTACCATCTCGAAGTTATACAAGAAGAATTACCATCTCGAAGTTATACAAGAAGAATGACATGAACTAGTTTTTGTAACTTGTACAGCTCTGGTAAGAGCTTTTCTTTTCAGATATTTGTGCTCTGTCAGATCAATTGTTGAATCTGATGATTTTAGTGACGGCTTCAGTATGAATCGGCACGTTGCAAAATATTTGTTCAAAATATTTGACTTTGCCTTTACGACCGCTTCAATAGTCTCAGAAACCGAATTCCAAATTTGAATGACATATTATTTGACATTTGCATTAAAACTTAAGCGTAAAACCTGCTTGTAGAACTTTTAAACCAATGTTCTTCTCTCCTCCCACCAATTAAGACTTAAGATCATCCTTTCTGCAAAAAAGCTGTATATTTATACAAATAACTTCGTTAAATAAGATTCTTTCTTTCAAGCCTGAAGCTGAGTTTGCTGTGACTTTCATGAAGAAAGCAACACTTTCTTCTTTTCCATGGAAAGTAATGGCTTTTACCATACATGAATATAATCTCAAATAATCTCAAAATAATGTCCGATTTAATCCATTCATCGTTGGCGAGATGCTATTTATTAGCAGATGGATTCCCGTAAAGTTTTCTTCACTATTGAAGTAGTCAAACTCAGAAAAGGTGGACAATATCAAGGCATCGCACAGTTGGGAGAGAACACCTGAAACATAGCACCATTATTATATAAAAATAGTTTTACTTTTTTTGAATAACGGTTGTTCCAGCTCGGAAAACTTCAAACCTTTTTAACTTGAAGGCTTTTTCAACAAATACTTTGGTTTTAACACAGTAATTATATACTGTCTACTACCATTCGTTTACTATCCGGTCAAGGCGTTATTGTTCAGTTCATGCAGTATTTTAATACTTTCAACACTACAGTACTATATAATAACAAATAATTTGAGATCATGAATTCGATGTAGTTACATTGAAACGTCGAGTAAACTCCTTTCCCTAATAAGAGCATTTTTACTTGTTGCATGAACCGGGATAAAGATAATTTTACACAGAATACATTACAACAATGCGACTCATAAACATTAAACAATAGTCCAATCCGGATTTTACATGGTAATTCAATATTATATATGAAATGTGCGGTCTAAATCAATGCCAGTTCCATCCAGACGCTATTCCTACACAGTGCCTGGAGCATGATGGGTAACCTGTGTGTCCACAGTGTCCTCAACAGGTAATATTTGCTAGTTTAATCTAATTTTGTTGAAGAGCAGTTTAATCATCCTAAATTATGGAGATGGTTGTTTTACCAAGTTTTTATTTCAAGAATTTTTCACACGCTATCAGCAAAATGTCGGAATATTGTAATCCCACCACCTACCAGGTACGGTAAAACACTCGACTTGGTTTGTGACCAGATTGACGATTGTAGGAAACTGAACAGAACATCGCCACAGATCTTATACCCATGAAATCAGAGTTGCAAAAGGAGTTTGGTTATTTTCACGGTGTATTGCAGCAGTTGAGTAACGTTGCCTGTTGGCGCACACTGCGAAAATGCACCCCCCCCCCCCCCCCCCCCCTGTTGGCGCCCCTCCCTAAAATTGAACAAATTAGGTGATTTTAGAGAGTTTAGAGGACACGGTAAAATCTCTAAAAAAGTGTGTTTCTAGAGCAAAACGTACAGTTTTACTAGTATGTTAGTATAGTACCTTAGTTAAGTTTTTCAAAATTGTCCCACATTCAAACGACAAGTTTTCGTAAACTCCCCCCCCCCCCCTCCCCCCCCCCCCCCCCCCCAGTCCGCACAGCGGGGTCAGCGGGGCTCTTCGTTACACCCTTCGTTACGCCACTGTATTGCATGTCAGAGAGCAAGCTTTGTTGGGCACTCTTGATAACGCACAATCAAAAACTACGACTACGGAGCCTCTTTTAATTACAGGTAAAAATATTACTCTGTCAATGTGCTGTCTCTTGTCCTTCATATATTTATATTTGATTTGTCGCTGAATCAACCTTAGTATAGTAGTATCCATTTTGTACTAGAAAAGAATGAGATAACTCATAATTAATCCACCTTTTTATCCAGATTACGAAGTTCTAATCTAAAGAGCCGGAAGACATGATCTTCTTCTGAACGGGTGGTCGCAGCCAACAGCTGACTGAAATTATGATTTTAGGGTTTTTGAAGGACTATTATTTAAAAACAAAAATGAGTTATATATTGGATATTTTTAGAGCCAATACTAAGACTATAACGTACAGTATTTTCATTTTGTTGTAATTTGAGATTCGAAACTCTGTGTACTTCTTTATATAATATAAAGAAATTGTGTATATAACATTCACTTTGAAATTTTGTCGCAATACTAGTGTTTATCGTGTACATTAAATTAAAATCAGCTTATCAACGAGCAAGAATTGCGAAACATGTTGAAGTATTTGAACTTGAAGTATGATACCATCGAACTGAATACGATACAAAATTATCGCCTCAATTGAAAAATTTCACCGATGTCTGTTTAATTCGATTGTCCTCGGAAAGGGTCTTCAAAGAATTTTGCTGGAACACGCTTTATTATAAATATTGAAATGTTAGCGCGGGTGAGGGATCCGCGCGGCGCAAAAAGTAATGTATTAACCTTCCTTTTTTGTCAGAAAGTAAGGTTTATACCTTACTTAAAGTAAGGTATTAAAGTTACTTTGCGCGGCGCAAAAAGTAGCTTTTTAACCTTACTTTTTTGTCAGAAAGTAAGGTTAATACCTTACTTTAAGTAAGGTATTAAAGTTACTTTAAACCCCACTAACCTTACTTAAAGTAAGGTTTATTTTTATGAGGGTAGTACCCGGCATTAGTGCATGATATCGTGCATACCTACTAAAGTGATCCAAACGAACTCGGAATATATCCAAAGATAATCCAAATCCTTTGGTTATTCCACCATGACTGGCTAGTCTTGCAACTGCCTTTGTATATTTCTGATCTGCAAGCACACTATAACTTTTTGAGTTCTGCATTATCATTTGTCTTTTAATAGCAGTTATTAAAATGTGTGATGGAGTGTTACTTACAACTGGAGCAATGTGTGACGTCATAAGTATCACACGCTGTTCTAGGACAGCATCTGTGTAAACTATTTGGTTCAAAACAGAGATGCAGCTTCTGTAAAACTGCGGAAAGAATACTTGTAGAGTCCTTGTTTGTGTGGCTGAAGGTTGCTCGTTCATACTAGCGTATAATGTAAGCACAGTTTTCTTAGGTTTCAAAATATTCGACCAAGATTTGTGGTTTGGCCAACGTAATTTCCTGAGTTGTAAGCCAGGATCCGTTTGAAATTCATTTACTGTTAAGGATTGTTCAATTCTATGGGATCTTCCAATTTCTGCCACTGTAGGTATTTCTTTCCTTGAAAGGTATTGCAAATATGTGAAGATTTTCAATCGAGGAATAAATCTTTGAACCATGATTATAAGAAACTTTATTTGTCTTTTTTCTACCGTAGAATGTTTCCTGTGACTTATCTGTTGAGTCAATTTCGTAGAAACAAAAATGGTGCAGTGCTTGGATACCAGTGAGAGGTCACTTTCTTGATCACAAACCAGATGGGGAACTAATCTAGAGGAAAGAACCCGCTCATGTGAGCTAAAGATACTAAGAGCTGTATTATCTTCCAACACTTTTTTTGAAGTAGCCCCGCCTATAAGGTCATGAGAGTGTATCTTTTGCGACCTTGCTTTTGTTGCGAGCACGGCTAATACTATTTCCACTGAACCAGCCGAAGTTTTTGGAGACATGGTAATTATTTCATGCAACTCATAACCGCTAATGGACCCAACCCACTTGTACTTTGAAACAACTTGAGATAAGCTGCTCATGTGCTCAGTAACCAGTGGCACATTGTGAATAACACCGATTCTAGCTGGTTGATCAAGTTCAAACTTGGGTTTCCGCCAGTTTGGTCTTGAAGCACTAAATAAAGTGGAGTACAGAGTACTGCAAGGCTTTATCTCTGAAAGGAGCTGCTTGATATGTGCCTGGGATTCTTTAGAAAGTCCTGCTGCTGCAAGCACTTTCCTTGGTGTCATGTAAGCTACTTTGGATACAGTGTACGTCGGTTTTATGATGTATTTCCTCCATTTTCTAAACTTCTGTTGGATTGCAGACGATTGAGGAGTAACTAAAAGCAACGGACTATCCACCCTTGCTCCTCCGTGAAGTCTTAGCTGTGATTCTGGTGTGTACACTGCTTTGAGATCCTTTGAAACTCCTTTTTGCATATAACGTTCTCTGAACGCCGCGAGGTGATATCGTCGTATTAAGAGGAACACGAATGTGGAGAGCTCATGGAACCCTGATACAGCTGCCTCATCCCCATTTATTCTAGGTTTCGATATCTTCAACTTAAGAGAAGACGTTTTGTACACGTACGAGTTGGAAGGTACAAAGATAGCTTTTTTAAAGCTTGTTACTCTGGCAACAGAAAGCTCCATAAACGCTTCTAATTGTTTGTAACTGTTCTTAAAAGCCATTGCTGAATACTTCGTGACCTTTACTTGAGCCATTTCTAGCACTGCAGGTTCTGGTACTTTGCTAACAATCTTCTGGACCATCTCAATCTGATGAGATGAGTCATGTTCCGATTGTATCCTTACCACATGTGCAACTAGAAGCACTCTGTGTCTAGTAAATATCACAGTTTCAGTTGTAGGGTCCTTCAGATACTTGACACGAACAACATGATCACGTGTCACCTCAGAGTCGTAAAACAGTTGACTGAACTTCCGTATAGATGGTTTACGTAGCTGTATCGTCAATACCCCTCTCAGATGAAGGTTAAAACTGAATCTCCAGGAGTTCCGGTAGATAGTGCGACATGCGGAGTCTCCTTTCAAGAGGATATTTCTACTTTTTGTCCCTTCATTTGGTACATCAAGAACACAAATAGGTCGGTAAGCTATCACCAGACTCTTTACATAAGGAGTATGCCTTTTAGAACTGTCAAGTGTTGTTGAGGTATATGACGGTAAAATTGGTCGCTTTGACACAACAAAAGTCAAAGAGTGTGATGTGTGCTCGGTAGATTTCGCTACATCTATACGAGGAAACGGATAGTGGACAATGAAAATGACGCCCAATAAACGGTATCGTTTTGAGGATGAGTCTGTGGCAATAGTATAGTGAAAAGCAACATTCAACGAATCTGTTGCAGATATTATCAATGATATTCCATCCTTGGAGCGAAGGTTAACAGCCAAGATTTTAGGATGTCGGTACTTTATGACAATCGGTGGACTGATTTTCCAAGTAGAATGGGATCTTTTATCTTCAATTGATATAAGTTGTATTTGCCGTGATGCCGAAAAAAGGAGAAGCTTGAATTTGGAATGAGGTTTCTGCTGGAGATCTCTTGTTTCCTTCACCATCAGAACTTCTTTCAATAGAAATACAGTACCATATAAGGTATCTCTGAACCTCTTGGAAACGTTGTGCGACTTGAAATATTCGAGAGAAAGGGGAAGAACATTAACTTTAGAAACTTGCCAAGATAATCCATTTGGTAAGGACATAGCGTTCAGCTCCTTTGCAGTTCCCTTCCTCTGGGTAACGAGAAATACGGCTTCAGCTAACCTGAGCGGTTCATTTTCAGCTGATCGTAATCGGACGTTAGGAACCTGGTTTTGCAGTCCTCCAAAAACTCTGACAATTACTTTTGATTCTGTGGAAACTGGTCGGATGATTATAAAAATCTCGCTAATGACCACCACATACGATGATGGCACTCTTTTAACTCCAAAGGAAAGACTTGTAGTCCGATAGAAACCTCGATGTATGACTGTCCCAGTGATACGGATTTGAGAGAGCTGCAAGGACGCAGGGTGTGGTGTTGAAGTCGAGTTTAAAGGTGATTCATGGTCAAAAGTAGGCTTGATCACAAAAGTCGACGTAAGCTTTTTGGTAAGGATGAAGTTTGGTGGTCTTTCAAGAACTTGAACGGTATGTTTATCTTCGTGTACTCCTTGATTTGTATTACCATTTCCACCAAACGATAGTGGGGTATCCGAGTGGGAATGGTGAGTACTTAAAACAGAATGGTGCTGACTTTGATAAGGTTGCACGTCTAAATGTGTGTCTGAGAAATCGATAGGCTTCCTAGAAATAACAACAGGATCAGATTTCTTGTGAGCAGCATTGTCTTCGAATCTAAGAGGGGTATCGAGAGTAGTCTCTTGTCCACTTTTAGCGTTCTTATTTTTTTCACTCTGTGGGAATGTTACATTGAAGGTTAAAGAAATCGATGTGACACTGGACGTCTGGACATTTCTGAGCATGACATATTTTGAAAATTTCAAGAAACTAATTTTCTGAGATAATTTGTATAATCATTAAGATGACAAAAATTTTTATTTTCTTGAATCAGTATACTTATAGTGTAACGGTGCCGAATACTTACAAAGATGAGCTTCGAGTTTGATGCACTACCACATTTAATCACCACTGTCAACCTGGATGTAAATTATCAATACATTTTTTTTGAGAAACAAAAGAAGAATATTTCTTCCAAATATAAGTCTTTATTCGTGAAAGATAAACTTTATTGAAATCAGTACTTACCACAGAAACCAAATTTTCATTCATCCGTTCCTCTGGTACTGCTTAGTGTTTACATTCTACGAAGGATTTTAGTTGAGTATTATAAAAAAACAGCCAAAAATATCATTTAATATGCTAATAAAAGTTTAATCATACAATCAATTTCAATGATTTTGAAACATTTTCCCACAGATGTACTGAAGAGTCCACATTCTTTTCTACTATGTATGATTTCATAAGCCTATTCAAAGACACGTATCCAAGGAAAATTAACTGATTCATAGGTTACATACTTGATTATACTATTATACCCATCAACATTAATAGTTAACAGGCTATTTAATAATAAACAAATTGCTTTAAAATGAAACTTGGAACTCAAAAGATCAATCTTAACAATCAAAAAACGACGACTGAGTCCTGCTCAAGAATTGGCTCAACAATTACGAAAAAAAAGTCCTGACACTTTTACGATCCATGATTTCGTTCACTCTAATGCTTGTATTTTGTCCTTGAAGAAATGGGCATCATGGTTCGCACAGTTGTAGCATAAGAAGCTGTTGATTCCAGCCACTCATCACATCGCTCCACATGATCCTCCACCAAGTAGTCTAAAGGAGGCTGACCTTGCGTAATAGTCATTGTGTTCACCACCTTAAATGGTTTGTCGATATGACCGTCGAGTTGGATCAAAGTACCAGTCGTTTTAGTGATGACATAGACAGCTGGGTCCCCTGATATCTCGTGCTTGAAGTTGGTTTCCTTTCTGATAA